TTCTGTTCAGAATGACTGTATTTATCCATGAGTATTTGCTACCCCCTAGTGCAAGGATCCAAACATAAACAAAAAAAAATTCTTTTTACCTCTCTGTCAAAAATTAAACTGTTCTACACCTCTTAACATGGAATCACATTGTACAGTTGTCATTATAGCAAAGTATTGTTTTTTCACCAACCTTGATTTGATTTAGGTTTATGATACCAACTTTCTTATTGCGTCTCTTTTTAAGTTTTGTTTATGAAGAGTATGAATGTTTTTTGCAGTTAGTGACAATAGGGAAATGCATAAGAATAAAATGCATTGCTAAATAATTATGGAAGTCAATCAGCTGTGCCTTTGCTTCCTTTTTACTTTTAGAGAAGTTATGTTTCTTACTAAATGGAAAAATAATGCCTTTCTTATCAACAGCCATAGTGCTTTACAGTTCACTACTACAAAGACTAAATGAAGGTGAAAAAAAAAAAAACATTTTGCGGATATATATCGGCAAAACATACAATACATACAATCCCCCAAAATACAATTAAATAACAGGCTTCAATATCAAAAAAAAGGTTAAAGTTCACACGATATAATACTGTATATTAATCTCAGTGCTGCCCATCATCAGTTAGAACTGAGGAAGCCTCTTGGATGAGAGGTGAAACGTCTTATAGAAAAGTTCACATCCAGTTTTCTATACTGAACTTTTCAAGCTTGACCCTGACCTGGATGACTGAGAATTATTACACCTGTCATTCCTTTAAAATGCTTATGTCTTTGGAGCTCCCTATGGCATTTTAATACAGCCATTAAGAAATGCGAGTGGAAAACCATAGCTCCCAACTGAAGAAAATGTCTCAAGCTGCAGGAACAGCTAAAAAGGTATAGTAGGGGATTTTTCGTGAATTTTTTAAAAGACCTGCCCTCTCCACTAAAAAAAAGGACATGAACAACCCTGTACCTTAATAGGTGTTCCCGAGAGCCCCCTTCCGCAGACACTCTGGTGCATCTCTCCAAAATTGTAGGTGACCGCAGACAGTGCCGCAGACAGGAGGCCTCTGATTGGTCAAATGTACATCCGCCCTACACTATGCGTATTTCCTGTTTGGTACCTTACAGGCATGTTTTGTTTGTATGACCGCCATTGTGGAAAACGACTTGTGAATTTGGACCAGATAGCAGAGCGAGGTGCACGAGAATGCTGGGACCCTTTTTCCACCTGGATCCCCACTCTTTTTCGCCCCTCATGTCCCTTCGTTCTTGCACAAACTTACCCCTTGCCTTTTTCCACTTCCTCACCCACAGCTTGTTTGTGATTGTCCCTCCTGTGTTGTGGCGTGGAATAACATAGTGCAGACCAAGCTTCAAAATTGTGCATAAAACAAAATTAACTGCATCATAACTGCAACAAGCTCACTGCGACACACTGCTACGGGAGTATACATAGGCCTTTAGTCACCGCTGTCGAGTAGCCACACCATATGGCGACAGTCTATGATGACAGCGGGCCGCTGTGAAAGACGGCATTATGTAAACATTATACTAGAATGATTGACAATTAGAAGGACCACTTATTGAGATGTTCCACCGGGAAAAAAAAAGTTTGTTCTCTACACCTTTAACTTTGAATATTTCTTATCTGCAGAAAGTCCACTCTATATTCACATGATCACAGCTTGTAAGCACTCTGATGGTGCAAAAAAATTGCTGTACATTTTTTTGTTGTTGTATATCTTTGCTAGATAACATTAGAATTAAGACCGACCAACAGGATTGTTCGGAGGTTGCCATTTTACTGCAGAGAAGTTAGTTTGCAGTTGGATATTACAAAGACATTTAACAGACATTAACACTAACTTTACCGCAGTTTCAAACCTTTGAATTTGAAATTTATATATATATATTTAGCCAGGAAATCGATCTGCTATTGTTTGCGGAATCAGTGAATCAACTTCAAGGTCTCCTTACACCTGACCTGACACAGCCTTACCTGTTGAGCCTGACATGCCCGTTCTGAAATGGATCCAACACTGCACGGAATACACTTGGACTAGGTCAAGCCTGACTTAACCTTGCTTTTTTAAATTCAGATTTTGTGAAAAAGGCCTCAGGTTTTATTTACAGCAAGCATATGTTTTGTTCTTTGTTATTTGAAAGAGAAAAAGCACAAATGTCTCTGTGAATAATATTTTATTTGAATGGTTTCAACTTTTCCTTTGAACTTGTATCAGAATCTCACACTAAACTGTCTAGAAATCTATGAAGTCTGATAAAGAAAGTAAGAATATATTATTTTTCTAGAAATGATGTAATAGTTCAGACAGCGAAACTGCAGTTAAAGCAATGGCAGTTTTCTATTAGAATTAAGGAACTACATTGAAGTTAAATGAATATATAACCACCATGCATAGGATAAAAATTAAATTTTTCGGTTTTCCAACTCAACAAAAAATTACTAAATAATTAATTAAAAAGGACAACGAAACATGTCTTACTTTTTATTTTCCATTGCACAGTAATCTCTATCTACAGAATTTCTAAATTTTGTGGCAGCAGATAAAGTCATTAAAACATCCATGTGAAATTTGCATAAAACTGTACAAGAAAATCAGCTACAATGAGAAAAATACTGCACCCCACTGATGAGTTTTGAATCCAGGACAGAAGATGGCAGGTGGAAATAGTCCCTCAAACTGTTGAGTTGTAAGCATTCAACCAGGTAAGAATACTGCAGACCAGAACAAACAACACAGAAGCAGGTCGAAAACCTAATAAAATGACTGACGCTGGGCTGAAGAAATTAAAAATACAAACTGAAATAGGAGAAAGGAAAAGACAGGCTATTTTTCTGTGAGCATTCACACTCCATACAGAACATACAGGACCAGACTTCCACTATAGCTGTGGGATGCCATGGTCATTCAAAACAGTAAACTCTGAAAATTGAAGGGCTTTTGTTTGAAAACAAAAGGTGTTGATTAAACAGTACTTTTGACATCATGCACCGATCCTCTCACAGATATATTTCTGGGTAGATGGCTTTCACTGTACTCTGAGACTGAAATGGATGCACTATTTTAACTGGGAGAGGCTTGGACATTAGCTATGAGACACCAGCATCAATAATATGTTAATCAGATGGACACAGATGTACAGACATCCCAATATGCTTCCATATATATATATATATATATATATATATATATATATATATATATATATATATATATATATATATATATATATATGAATACAATACATTTTGTGTGAATTGAACTGTGGTTCTGGATAGACTGGAACAATATCATAACTCATACCTTGGTCCACTCAAGACATTTAACTCTAGATCATGACACATTATACAGCCATTTCAATGGTGTTGGATTTTAACCTCAAGGAACAAACAACAAATATCAGAGGGGAGAGAATTCACAATTATAATTTATGCCTTTTATCCACTTGCTATGAATAAAGGTACAATGGATCACAACGGCGCACATGCATCTCATTAAGTTTTAATCTTTTTGAAAAGTTCATTTATTCTAACAGTTTAGTTCTAAAGGTGGAGAACAATCTAATATGATTCATCACATACAGTGATATGTTTAATATCTGTTATTTTGATGGTCATGGGACTTGGCTAATTGAAAAAGAACAAACTATTATTTCATTTCTCAGAACTTCAGGATATATCATAGGCTGACACAGAAAAAAATATTGTTTTATGGCCTATAAAACTATAAGGAAGACTTCTGACATGACAGTTATATTGTACTGTAGGCTGCCACAGACACCCTCCATATGGAGGATAAGCCACAAAAGGTCATTGCTACAGAGGCTGGCTGTTTACAGAGGACAGTGTTCCAAAGGAAAGGGTTGTTATTAAAAATAAAGGTACACAAGCAACAAGGGTAACAGCAACATTGAAAGGATTCTAATCCAAAACTTATTCAAGAATCTGAGAGAAATCTAAAGTCCTAGACAGAAAAAGTTAATATTTTGGGGTACATATCACTCTGTATTGAACCTAATCCACATGTTTTGATATTTTTATTTTGTTTGCATGACTATAATAAATGAACTTTTCAATGATTTTCCAAGTTATTGAAATACACATGTATAACTGGGGGGGCAGAAGTGGGTAACCTGGGTCAAGAGAGTAAAAAGCCTGTACAGAGATTAGTTTCAACCGTTTGCATTTCCAGCTCTACAACAAAGACCTGGGGCTAATCACCTGGTTCAGAGAACAGAACAAAGGGTAGGTTTTTTACTTCCAGAACCTGGATTATCCACCTTTGTGGTAGCGCCTGGTTCCAAGAGGCATGGTAAAAAAAACAAAAAAAAAACACAATGGACAAGCTAAAGCAACTCTTTGGCGTCAGAAAAAATATGGCCTGTCTCCTCTTTTTTTTTTTTTTTTCTTGTGCAACCTTAATGTTTACTTTCTAGCTGGTCTAAGATTGTCAAACTATTTACTTATGTACAAATAAAGGTTAGAAGCGTAACAGACCGGAGAGACATCACATGGAGGGGGATTATTACTGTAAACACTGTAGCAAAAATAAGCTAGAAAACAAATAAAAAATCAAGGTGAATAAATAAGTACATAGACGGCACAAACTTTATGGAAAAACTATAAATATGAATTAATTTCAAAATGTGTCTCTTAAAAATCTTGCAATCATATATATATGTGTGTGTATATATATTGTAACAATGCCTTTTGACTATTACTCACTTGCTGTGGCAAAGCCTGTTTATTTCCTCCTAAATGGTGCCACCTATGTAAAATTGTATTGTTTATTGCTTACTTGCCAGAATTTCCCCATTGCGGGACAATAAAGGGATTTTATATTCTATTCTTTTCTATTTTCTGTGACTGATCAGGTTGCCTGATATACCAGGAATGAGGATCCAAGTGAGTAGAATATGCAAAAATTATAATTTCTGTCATTGCACTCAAGTGTTGATTTAAACCACACTGAACACAACCACATTAGTTGAGTTATGACAGTATATGAACAAGCCAATATAAAAACAGGTACCAGGCTGTTTTGGCTGAATACAATTTCCTTATGCACAACTGAGACCATTGTTTGTGAAATTAATACCTTTTATATTATACTTTGTTTGTTCATATTTTATTTATTTAATCCAAACAATGACTCCGAAGACCCAATGAAAAAAATAAGCCTTTTCAATTTGGCAAAGAAAATCCATTGTTTTTGTGTGTTCATCCTAAATCTTCAGCTGTGCCATTTCATCCACAGAAGCATTTTTCTAAAATATGGGAAACTTTGCTGCTGCTAAAAAAAACAAACAAACAAACAAAAAAAACAGTCTAAGGTTTGTTTTAAGGGAATCATTGTTACAACAAAGAAACAACTGACCAAACACAATAGCAGGTTGAATGTTAAGATCCAAATCAATATAAAAATGGGGAAAATAATGTATACCCTTGCTCTTCTAACAGATCCCAGCCCTTTTCATAAAAACAAAGTGATTTATGTCAGTCACCATTTTCGCACCATTAGAAAAATAAATATTTGAATAATATTGAGCAGGAAACCCCAACAAATATTTAACAGAGGAATGACATACACTCCGTCTCTCATACACAAGCACTCTGTAACAGTTTTAAAGTCTAAGATACAGAGGAGAGTTTGAGATTGAGTAAGATGATGAAATACACAGCATACATCAGAAAGTAGCCTTAATCTTTGTGACACTGCACACATTGTCTTAGACTCTGCTCGTCTCTCTTCCATCTCTGCAATGAGAAATCTCCTTCTTTCCTCTTTGTCACAAAGGTACAAAAGTCTACAAGTGGATACAGCATTGCACATTTATTAGATCTATGTACAGATATATCAGTTTATTTAGATTTGTCTTTTTTTCTTACATGAACTCGTCATTACTTGATTATACATAAAGTCTTGTTTCAGCCAAATTTGTTGGTTTGAATATTGCCCAAGAAGGTATACAGAGGAGACAACAATAAAAGGACGTTTTGGCAAATGAGAAAGAGGACTCCTCAGGTACATGGATCAATCCGAGACCTTGCAAGGGAGGCTCTACATAAACAAAAACACAAACAAAAAAAGTCACCATTTACTTATTACTTTCCTCTGAGGTTGTCTGTCTCCACCTCAGTTCCAGCTTCACACTGAGGTAAGAACAGGATCCGCTATTGTGCTAGGGACTAACTCCCGGATGTTTTTAATGAGGAAGGCTCAGAGGGACAGCTGACAGACAGATGGTGGAGAGGGAGGAGTCTGTGAGTCCAGAGGAGCTGATGGAAGGTCAGTGAGATACTTGTGACCACAGAGCTTCGCTCCTTCCCAGTGGCTCATCAGAATTGGTACCATTTTTTGTCTTTGCATTTCAGCATCATCTACAGGAAAGAAAAACATGTCAAGATAAGAACCTAAAAAGAAATGAAAATCTGAAAGACAACACAGGACGGAAGTGTACAATGTTCTGTACACTTGTCAAATCATAAGTCATAATACTATGGCTCTATCCTGCTCTCTAGTGGGCAAAGTCTATATATTAATATCAGCACAAAAAGGAGGACAGATCGTGGATATTTATAACAATATTATTATTATAATATATATTTAAGTATAAACTATTAATTAAAAATCTTGAAAATTAATAGCATGTTCAATCAATGCACATGTCAGTATACAGGGGACTTTTGTCATATGTGGAACAAAACCAGTGCAAACAGAAATTACCTGGCGCCACCTTCTGGGTGCAGATGTAAGGCCCAGAGCTTCCTCACTAAACAGCTTCCCTTATGTCTTTTACTCAAATATGGAGCAATCTTTAGATGTAGTAATGCCAGTGCTGTTCAAAGAGTCCAGCAATTATTGTTGGCTATATTGCACCATGCACAAATTATGGTACGGGTTTTCTTTATACCTTTCTTCTGACATTTTTACACTGAAATCCTTTTGATTGAAATCTCGGCAAAACGATTCAAATAGATGTTATTTTAATCGTTATTTATTCTTTTAATGGATATTTTACTGATACTCTCCCTGGATTTTCCTTTACCTTTTTCTTAAACAATGTTTTAGAGGCAACAACAACAAAGGCAACAATTTTAAGGTTATGCTGATTTCCTGGTTTTTATTATGACTCATAAAGACCAGGAAAAATCCCACAAGGTTAACTGAACCCTAAATAAGGTTGATCAAATTAATTACAACAGCTAAAAAAATTACTAAGCTGCTTTAACAAAATATTTATTCAGTGTTTTTACCTATAACGCATTCATTCTTAACTAAACTTTACAAAAAAAGCATCCATATTTCTGCAAAATCAATCTAGAAATAAAGAACATATATTGAATCTAGTGTATTTACCCTTAATTTAAGTAGGTAAATAAGATTATCTGCCAATGAAATGAGTATTTTTACTATTAAAATAAGATAATTAGATAACATGTGCCTGAAATAGGACAATGCAATTGTATTTTCTCATTTTAAATGTAAATTGTCCCATTGGCAAAGTCAATCACTTACCTCCTCAAAATTTTCCTATTTTAAGAAAAAAATGCTTATATTGATTTTATTTTATTTATTTTTTTGCAGTGTTTCGTTTTGTGAATGTAGTGTAATTATTTAGCTCTTATGAAGTATCTTTGCAGGCTTTTCACTTTTTTATTTTTAAACATATTCTCTTACATCATGGGCATGTTTGGAAAAAGAATCTGCGCTGGCCATCATGGCAGCTGTCCTCTCATCCAGTTCACCCAGTTTCTGGCCTCTCTCATCCAGTGCTATCCGGGCACGTGCTAGGTCTCCAACCACACCCGAGGCAGCCCCCTTCATCCCCTCAATGCCACCTGGGCCGGGGATGTGCTGAGCCAGACTTCGAGATGCCTTCCCAGCTGCCACCTCGCCAACTTAGGAAGCAGGAACAAGACAGAAGACAAAAAGCATGATGGTGTTTGTGGCTGCAACCATTTTAAGAGAAGTACATCTGTGAAGATTTTTCCAGCTTACATAGTTCTTCCCTATCCAGTGACTGTGCTCCTCCTCCAAAGAGGCCTTTAAAAAAACCTCTATTTGGTGCCTCTGGTGTTTCCACTGGTGTAAAAAGTTCACCCAACATCTCCTAAAATATAAAAAGCTGTGTCATTTCCAGTTAGTGATATAGTATGCATCATTTATGCATTTTGAAAGTTCTCAGACTCTCAAAAAAAAAAAAAAAAAAAAAAAAAAAAAAGTTTAACAAAGAGCCTTTAGACCTGCCTGTAGATTTTCACAAGTTTCTTGACTGTAAGTTATCCTCTGAATCTCAGTGGGTGAGCAGAGGTACATGGCTTGGCCCAGGTTTGTGAAGCAGAACGTCCTAGCTATCCGCATGTCTGTCAAAGGTAGGTAGTTTACATCCATGAGCGGTCTCAGTCCTGGCACACTGAATAAGAAGCACAGAAACAATAGAAATCAATTTAAACAAAAGGATGACCAATAAAAGTTCCCACACATACAGTCATCTTTGCCATTCTAAACTAACAGTTGTCTGCATTCTTAGGCCATCTTGATAGGAACCACTTTATGATTTCAACATTATGAATAACTTTAAACATCACCCTAAAAATTCAAACCTAAAGAAAGTGTGAAAATGTTTTTGTCGACCAAGAATTAGGAAGAGGTGTGGGTATTTAAATGAACACATGTAAATCCCCTAGTTGTCAAGGCAACATCTGGACATCCTCACACTGTTCAGACACCCATAAGGAAAGCTGCTCTCTATGTCCTTTCAGGGGAACTGTGACTGATGAGAATGGCTGTCACAGTCGTACACTCTCCCTCTATTATTACCCATCACACATTGTATAGAATTCCACCTGCTGTGTGAATAGAGCGTTTCCCACCTTAACAAATCCATCAGTTGGTAACAATCCTATAGCACATGGCTTTTAAAACTTGATGTGATTCCAAATATGGTAAAACATCTCAGCTTTATGGGAGAAATTGTGGAAAGGTGGGGGATTTTACTCGTATTTTGGGATTGCCTGAAGGTGGACGATTTTTGTAAAAATGTGCAAACAAAAAGAAGGCATTCATATAGATCTGTATATAAAAAAGACAATTAAATACTTGATCAGAGTTCTTCCTTTTGCTTGGTTAAGGCCACAACCTCCAAGTATTACACAGTGGAGAGATAGAATTAGAAGTCTATTTTATGGAAAAAGCAACATCAAGACAACAACGTAAGATGGAGACCTTTGAAAGAAAGTGGAGACCTATAACTAAATTCATGCTGTAACCTTGACACCTCTATTTATTTGTTTGGTTGCTTTTGTACCTTACAAATATATTCAGTATTATTACTGTGTACTTGTATCACTGGTCTGTATTTTCATTATGTCACAATGATTCACTGCAATCATTGTGATTTATATAGCCATTGATGCTGTTAATGAGTATAAATATCTCTTAATGGGTCTAATGTCTATAGAAAAGAAATGTATATCTGTTTGACTGTCTTCTCAATCAACAATCCCTGGATATATTTTGGCATTGCTGGAAGTTCTGTATGCTTTGTGTAGGTGAAATGGCTAAAATGGTCTGCATAAATAAGATGTTAAGATGCACACTGTGAAATGTGACACGGGTGGACGTGTATTTGTCAATATAAAAGTTATTGAAAATAAAAATAGAAAAAAAACCTGGATGTGATTTTAGAAACAATGTTTTAAAGTTAAAGTTAAATTAGTTATTCACACTGAAGGAAGGTAGTTTTTTTGTTTTTTTTTTGTCATGGCCAGCGTGGTTCTATGAACACAAAAAAACCTGGTGGCCTTGTGGATTTTTGTGAAACTGGATAATTTATCTGAAATTAAAGACAAGCAAGTATTTTTTCTTTGTCCACTTTGAAAGTGTTGCACACCTCAATTTACTTTTGGTTTCTTTTACTAAAAAAGCTACAGTAAAGGAAGAGCCAGAGCTATATAAGGAAAGCTAATTTGATGCAAGTCATAACAAGAAAAATAAATGCATGCAATATATTACTCTGTGTCTAATAAATCCAAAATATTGGACAACTCCCACTTTTTAGATGAAATAGGATTATGGTACAAATAATTGATAACTATTTAATTATTAATCAACTTTTTGAATTATATGTTTATCAATATGTGTTTGTATTCCAATAAGCCAATTTCCATAATCATTTATTCATTTAGAGTTTGCCTTCTTTATAAGCTTCTATAACACATTTATAAATACTGTTTGCTACAGCTGAAAGGCTTTAGGATTATTCCTTTTAAATATACTACAGGCTCTACAGCTGTAAAGCTGCAGCCCAGTTCATCCAAAGTGACTGTTTTTATCTACAGCATAAAAATAGTTGTCTTTTTTGGGGGGATTTCAATAACAGTGTAGTGATTTACAAATAGTCAAAACATAAACTTCTTATACATCAGTATAATAAAGTTTAAAATTAAAATTGTATGTCCTTTTTAGAACGATAAATGTTTCTAATGGCAAAGTCCAGTCAAACCCATCTATATTGTTACAAAAACGCTTACTGTATAATGGAGACATTGATTAACCTATCATCATTTCAGACTAACGTGCTACTCACCTGAGTGTCATTATGTGACCATTGGCACAAAAACAAGCCAAGCACACTCCCTGGTTCATCTGCACAATGTCTGCCCGTAAGATAAAAGAATTTTCTGTGATACTGTGTTTGTAGATGCAAGTCTGGGAAGGAAGGGACATGACTTTGGCCTGCTTCTCGGAGCACACCACAGCAAACTGGCTCTCATTTAGCTCCTGCGAGGTGGAAGGTGAAACAGAGACAGGCCGCCGCTTTCGGATCTTCTCTCTTTCTTCACCATCTGCTGTGATGTTGGGCTCATACCAGGGTTCAAATGCAGGAGCAAGCAATAAACCAGTGGAGTCCAGAAAAGAGATCCGCATGATGCTTCCCTTAAGCCGCACCAACATACCTTAAAAAGAAAAGGTTTTTAGGAACCAACGGATATTGTATATTATATGTATATATTTATATATATATGAAGTATACATGTATAGTTTTACCCGTAGGGGAAATTATAACTGGTTGGAGTTGCCGCTGCTCCCCAGCAGATGGCAAAGTGATAGCCAGAACCAACACAGTCCCAAGTGAAGTGCCCACATAGAGGCAAGGTGTCAAAGTGCAGTCCCCCTTACGGGCAAAAGTCTCGCAGAATAGAAAGGAACTTATAGCTTCCCGGGCTTCTTTGTCGATGCTGGTGACGCTGGAGGAGCGTGAGCGGCTGAAGGAGTTGTCCCGGTGGTCTAACGGGTTGGCACCCCGCGGCGGGCACACAGAAAGAAGGACAGTAAAGAAAAAACAGAGAGAGGTAAAGCACCTACAAAGCAGCAGCTTCAACACATTGTGCACTTTTCTTACAAAAGCAGTGATTACAAATTAAAACCTTTTCCTCAATTTCTTACTTTAATTCAATCTATTAATTTATTTTACTGGAATATAGTGTGACAGACCAAAACAAAATGAAACTGTTGAAAAATTATACATATATTTGATTAAGAACAAAACTATGAATTTGCTTAAATGTTGCCAGGCGTATTCTATTAAGTGAATACTTCAGTTCAAACCAGTGCGCTAGAGAAGTCCCAGTGTCTTTAGAGTCACTGTCCTCTGCTCAAATAATCTCTTTTTTAATCAGGAAGCTTTGCCCTTTATGTTTCTTTAACAATTTTCTCAACAAGGCTAAATCAGCTTCTCAGCACCTGCTGATAGAAGCATCCTCAAAGCTTCATAATGTCGCCATCATCCTTCAAAACGTCATCAGTAAAAAAAAAAAAATATGGCGTTTATGGCGATGCAGATTAAAGAACTTCAAGAATGAGGCCTTCTTTTGGTTTCAAGGGCTTTTCTCTTATTAGTTTCTCAAAAGGTCAAAATGGTTAGTGCACATCAGCTTAAGCTGGCAGATCATACACCAAATTTGTGGATCTCACAAATGTGAGTTCAGATTGATGGTCATCATATGATTTTATGATAATTATACCATGAAAATTATTCATATTATTAAAGTTAGTTAAAGCAGTAGACGTTTTCTTTATGAAAAAACTTGTTTCCACCTTTATAGTAGAGTGAAGCAGGATCTGAATTTGTTTTTTTTAAATTCAGCTTTACACCTACAGTATTCAGTACTTTATGTGGTCAGTCACATAGGATTCCAGTAGAATACCTTCGATATTGTGGCTGCAATAAGACAAATAGTGAAAAAAGTTAAACCGTTACACACAATAAAATTATACCGGAGGCAGATTTTCATTTTGAAGAGGTGAGGTTGAGTCCTTTCTTAAATTCTTAAGATAAAAGAGATTTATGTTTTCTCCTGGGCATTATGATTTTTACCTCAATGTTTTAGAAGAAGCAATAAATTAAGATCTTATTGTCTTATGTTCTTGATTTTTATATAAAAAAGAACAGAAAGTGTTTGATACCCAAATAAAAGAGTAATCTACACATTAAATATGTTGATAAGAAAATAAATATTAAAAAAAATATGTATATATATATATATATATACACAACTGAATGTTGGGATACAAATGGCAATTTTGCAGACTAAATAACTTTTTATTGTTACAATAAACAGTCACACAAGGAAAAGAAAATACATAAAGAAGACAAAAGAGGAAAAGAAACTGAAAAAGCTACTGTACAGAAGGTTTTAGGGTAAAAAGAGTGAGCAAAGACTACTACTTCAGCACCACTGACCTCTTATCTTCTATGGTTAAATGAAAAACCAAATAATAAAAAGAAATAAAAAGGCAGGGAGTTATGTTCAAAAATTTTATTCAGCTCAATACATTTCAAATCCAGCCAGATCAGTGCTACTTTTAACACATGCAAACTTAAGAGATCTGCACAGCTTGCCAATTTTGAGACTAAAAACCAGAGAAAAATACTCCACTGGACTAATGGAATGTGGCTAAGTCCAGTCACAGCGAGGAAATCAAACTGCAAATCATATAAAAGACTGTTTGGAGACACGAAGTCAAGGCTTACCCAAGTCTGGCTTTAGCTCAGTAGGCAAGCTTAATTTCCGTGACATCTTTGCTGGAAAAAAGAGAACATCCCTCTTTACAAACACACATCTAAGCTATGACAAGGTGCCATGCAAAGCCAGGTAGCCAGAACTGGACAAGGATTGAGCACAATGCTGAAGGACACCTAAATAATAGGACTTTAAAAATAAAAACTGTGGAACATGTCCAGGGTACTTGGTTTACTGACAAGAGGAGCCAAAATGCTTTACATATAAGACTTCCACGTACAGTAAGAACATAGAGGCAACCCCTGTATCTAAAAGGCATGCTGTGACAGAAAACAAAAGGAGGAGACCATTGGTTGCACAAATGCCTCAAGAGAGGACTGGTAAAAAAGACCAAAACTGCAGGGGCATTCAGGACTGTCAGGCCAAAGAAGCATGCAGCAAGAACCAGAACGTAATAAAAAGTAACATTAGAGGTTAAAGAAGACAGTGACAGTGAAGAAAAGGTGGTTAAAGTTGACTTGAAAGGTTTCACAGCTCTTTTATAATTTTACTTCGACTTCTTGTTCAAGAGTAAAAACAATTGACAGTAAATAAAGGCTAGAGGTACTGTAGTTTGACCCGCACTGTACAGATAGAGCTACATCATACACTCTTTGAGGTGTTACGCTTCCTAAAAATATTTATCAAGTGTAGTTGTGCCAGTGGTTTAAGTTGGTGCTTTCTCAGGATTCCATCCAAAACAAAGCTTTAAATGACAAACAAGCTTTGACCTTATAGCAAAAGTTTGGTTGCATATGTATGTTTTTTTTATAGTTTGAGTGGTGGACAATGTTAGGCCCCACTAATCCCCCTGAGCAGGCCAGTGGGAATGTATTCTTTTAAATAGAGGTCATGAAGGACACAACAGGCATATTTGATAGGTGATGAGGATCCAGACTAAAGATTCAGCAGAGACAGGAATTGGAGCTCCTGCATCATGAGGGTAACCATAACCTCACTTGTGTGTAACTCCCAGGTTGATGCAGATGAGGGCTTGATGGTCTGATCCTCACATTCATTATAATCAGAGACCCACTCAGCTTTAATTGCCTTTGGGTTGTCAGGTTTGATTGTGTTCTCAATGCTGCACAAGCTTAACCATTCACTCCATCGTAGCATGTGTAGACTTTCTATTACTCAAATCTGTGTTGCTAAAACTTGCTCCACAGAAAAGATCACATGGGGCCACATAAACAACCTGCAAACCAAAGTGTATTGACAATTAAGAATTACCTTGCATCACCACCTCCACAATCGAGAAAGTATTCTTAGCGGTTTGTAAATCTGGGTTGGATAAGGTTTGATGGTGCCTTCTCGCTGTTTATTTAGTTTTTAGCTTCACAACCATACATTACCTGGAACCTGAAAGAAAAAGGTTTTCCAGAAACTGCCAACTGCATTGGTTTATAAATATATTAATGTATTATTGAAGAGACAGAGCTTTGGTTAACGCATGTCTAGCTTCGGCTGGCAATGTTTTTATATGAAGAAGTTTTGCTAGGCTAAATCTAACATGATTCATATAGAATTTAACAAAACAAACAAATTATAGTTCCTCTATTTTTTAATACAGTTTAGCTTTATTAAATGTTGCTAGATCTTCCAAATAACATTATGTCTTAAAAACCTAATGCTGTGCTCTTAATATCATGAGAATTCAATGTATATTGTCATGCTGTGTGCACATTTCTTCTCCAATAAATGTTTTAAATAAATTAGCACAGGACAGAGCTTTGCATCCAATTAAGTCTGTGCATATTTGAATATCAATATAAGAAGTAAAAAAAAAAACAAATTAAAAATCTTATTTGTTAAATTAAAATCTGTAGATATTATAGGGTTAGATTATTGGATAGTAAATTCCTCTTTTCTTTGATTTAACGTTTGGATAAATCGAAACTTTGTCATAACAGTTTGATGAATTGTTATTTTACTATTTGCATGAACACTGAAGGTAAATGATTACGTAGTTGGAGCAATGAGTGGCTCAGTGGTTTTATAGGACATTATAAACAATCATATCAGACAGACAGCAAACGCAAACACATTTACACTCAGACACATGTGCTACATACAAGTAGCATGCAAGATCTGTATCATACAACTATTTTATCTTAAAACAGCAGCAATCTCAGCCTCACTCTAGGTCATCCTCTGCTCCAAGAACTTTCAGTTTTTCTTACGTTGTGTTAATGTTTACACTCAAGCATAAAAATAAGCAGTTTCTGTATGGAAATAAACTAATTCATCAGGTTATAAAAAAAATAAAAATAAAAAAATTGAAAAAAATAAAAATATGCAGAACTAAAAGGAAGTGGAACAGAAGCTAACCTTGACACATTAAAAATGCTGTTATCATCTTGTTTTTATGAATGTAAAATAGCATTTGAGTGACTACAGACATTAAGGACAGAGAAACATAACGGGGAACCAAACCGGGACCACATTTGTCCTGCCAACAGAGCTTCTGATGGAAACTTTGGGCCAGTCTTACCTCCTCTACCACCTCCATTGTAGAACTGTTGAAGATTGCTGTGTGACATCAACACTTTTGGAGATAAGGGAGGAGTAAAGTACAATAAATGTACAGTTAAAAACAACAATTTGTGTAAATTTAGATCAATTTTATGGGCAAAATTATATTTTTTTATCTTAAATACAATGTTTTGAGTTTGATTTTTTATCTTGTCCTCTTTTTTAAAAAAAGAAAAAGGAAAATGTGTTAATTTTGAGATTATGCTCCTGCAGTCAAATATGTGTTCATCCAAAGGCTTTGTGTGGAAGCCAAAAAGGGAAACGACTAAATAATATTTTAGTGGGGAATCTTGGGTTATTTTTTTATTTTAAGTTCTTTCATTTGTTTAAAAATTGATAATTTTAAATGCAAAATAAAATAAAGTGATAAAGATACAATTTTTGAAATCAGGTAATTTTACCAGAAATGGTGGGGACTAATATCAGACCTGATGAAAGCTGGAGGACGACATATAGGGATGTGATTTGTATCTGACCTTTTAAAAAGATTGATCATTTTATAGCATGGCTGTGATATCATCTATTACAAAATGAAACAGTTTTGGGTTTTTTTCTCTCGATGGTACCAGCATTGTAGATTATTGGAATGCAAACCAAAGAGCATCTCTGCAAAACAAGACTAACCTACTTTCTCTCTGGACCTCTTATAAAACCTGTCTCTACTGCTGGAGAGGAAATGCCTCAATTTACTGAACCCAGACACTAAAAAATAAAGGTATCTGCATAAAAACTAAGTTCAAAATTAAGTTGCATATTTTTGGCAAAATAATAAATGTATTGCACTACCGGTTTTTTCACACAGTAATAGTTTTTTCACACCCGTTGGTTGGATTTACTTAATTAATAGTTACACTTAGTTAATCTCACACATAATATAAACAAAGTTTGCACGGGATAAGAAGTTCAAGTATTGAAAACATAACTGTGTCTGCTGGACTCTGTCAACTGATAAATGAATATGTGTGGAAATGGGGGAACACTGCTCAGACTAAAAAAATGAGTATTTCTAAATGTTGTGGATGAGTGAAACTGACAGTAAAGCAATTTTATGGTTCAGCAAAAAAACATACTATACAGTTCTGCTTTAATAAGCAGCAGTTAATAGTCAATCTTAAAAGCAAGACACATCAATCTTGTTTGCTGACTATTGAAAGAAGTACTATGTATAAGCTTGACAACATATTTTGGACTTTTTTCCATTTAGACAAACCTGATGTTTAAATCTGTAGCATTGTTTTAACCAGAGCCACTGAAGAACATGTTACCTGAAGTTGGAGACTTGCAGCGGTCCTCAGATGTGGCCGAGTACTCGTTAATGTCACACAAACCTACAGTAGAGTAGATATAACACCAACTGGGATTAAATTGATTAAGATATGAAGATGTAATTCTGCAATTGCAAACAACAAATATAAATAAAATAAAATAATAATAATAAAATAAAAATGTAAAAATAAAAAAGGACAAATGATTGAAATTATATTAGAAATTAAATTAAGAGCAATTTAAAACATTTCTTTTCTACATGAAGTCATGTGGGAGTGGTGGTGTGTGACATTGTTCTGTGAGGCAGAAAGCCGTCCAGACCAGAGTACCCTGTAGCACACAAACACAACTGAAAGTCTGATTACAGATCCTGCTTGCCAAGCTCTGATATGAACCCCCCTGGTGCTTACCAGATTATATGGGAGATCTCTGCATCCTTTTCAGGACGGGGATGAATATGTGCAATATTTTTGGCTTCAGATGCGGTTTCTTTCAAAAGCTATGAACAATTGTATTTAAAGTCATTACCCAACATCTCTGGGCAGATCTTTCAAATCTGCCAAACGTACAAATGGGAAGTAATTTACTAGAACGAAATTGATCTGCATTGCTATTGTCCAACACATGATGGCAGTGTGTTAACGCTGAATCCAGTGATACATTGAGGATACTTTAAAACTCAGGAGGAGAAAAACATACAATCTACAAAGATATATATGAAAGAGATTTGAATAATATTAATAAAATAAGTGATTTTTAAAAAAAAATACTTTGCTATTTACAAAGCCTTGTCCAATAGGACTGGATAGCATGAACTTGCAGAGCCTTGCAAAAGTGTTTGAATGTTTTTAACTCTTGCACTTTTTCGTGTTGTGTCATGATACATCTACAAACTGATGAATTTAATGGCTTTTTTTTATGAAAGTTTAAAATATGGTTAGGTCTTTAGAGCTTAAAATAATATCCATTGCAAAAGAGGATGAGATTAAAATAGGCCATTTGATTATACTTTTTCAATAAACGTAAGTAATTTTTTCTAATGTCAGTATAATAAAAGCAGTATGGTGATTGTCTCAGATTTTTTTTTTTTTTTTTTTTTTCAGAGAACTTTGGGGATAATGAAAACCAGCACACAGGCCACGGATAAAATTGCAGAGACATTTATAGCATGACTGAGTATGAAAACAACATCTCAAAGTTTGTATAAAACTTAAGGCACAACTGAATCCACAAAAACTGAAGCTGTGGTTGTAACCTGACAGAGTGTGATACAGTTCGAGTGGTATGAATACTTCACAAAGGACTATGGATGCAGTGTCTGTGTGTGTATTTATGTCTTCTCACATTGAGATCAATTTACTGATTAGATTAGGGACTAAGCACCTGTGGTGGCAATAAAAAGCCTTCATGCTTAAAAACAACTTAATGCTGTCAGGTGAGGGAAAATACAAACTTGAATTAATTTCCTTTAGGATTGATTTCATCCACTAATCCAGCCACAGGTGAAAAGCTGACAAAAACAAGAGATTATAGGGCTGGGATTTGTTTGTAAGACAAAAGTGTAGAGAACATCCTTTCCTCATGGGTCGATTTCTATTATTATTGACAGCAATATCCGTATCTATCGTCATTTCTTCTACTTGAACAACGATTTCTATCATGACATTGAAGAACGTCTATTTGTTTAACTTATGTTTAGTTTGGCTTATTTTTGTATCATGCATTTGTTTCCAATTAGAAACATCTCTGCAACATTTAGATAAGCTTTAAGGTATGTGATTTTTGTTTAGCTAGACTGGTGTGAGGCAATTAGCATCTTCATTTTGTCAAAACAAAAATCAGTATTTAAACATTTTAAACTAACCCCCTCCCTGCAATAAAATGTGCATTGTTTATTTTTTACATGCCTTATCTGTCATTTTTTCATCTTTACCTCCAGAAGGCTGCCGTGTTTTTCTTGGCGACCGAGGCTGTCTCTGGTAGGGATCATTGGATCCGTAAAGCTCCACCGTTCCCAGGTTGAGGACCACAGTTTTCTGGATGTAGTCCACCACTGCTAGGCCATTGCTATTGCCAAACACCACTCTGGGGTGTGATGGAAGAAGATAAAGAGGGAGTGGAAGAAGGTGAAAGTAGGTTAAAAAACAAGGATTAAAAGGCAAGAAAAAGCAACATGAAGTAAAAACAAGATCACATATACATATATTATACATTTAGTCAAATAGATAAGATATGAGTTCATAAATCATATTGTCAAGCATTACTTTGCAAAAGTACGCCAAGCTCTTTTCACTTTTTGTCACATAACATCCTTAAACCATATTGTGGTGCACTAGCTAAATGAAAAGATGGGGTGATAGACTGAGCTAAATAAAAGGTAATCCTGAAAGAAGCATTATAGTTCTTCAGGACTGAAGAGCCTCCATAAAGCAAGATTTATAATGTAATGTTGGAGAAAAAAGTGCATGCGCAAGAATGGCCCAGTCAAATTCAAGACTTAGTTCCAACACAGCAATAACTCCAGCAGAGAAATTGACTTGACTTCAAAATTGCCGATGCAGCTGAAAATTGATTAGTATCATTTCATGATGAGCTCAATTAAAAGATATTGAGAGTATCATGAATGTTTTTAGGTATTAAAGTATTTTAGCAAAAGTTTAAACATAAATGTAAAAAAATAAAATATATAAGGTGAACATCTGATTAACTTCTGCTGCTGAAGATTCTCAGTCATCCAAGAAATGAAAACCAAAAACAATAAAATGTCATCTTTTATTTTAAGTTTTAAAACAGGCAGTTAAAAATCCGTTAATAGGGCCTCGGTTTAGTTATATTAAACTTAAATCAAAAAAAGCTTAAAACAAAAATGCTTAAAACGACTAAAATGCAATGTAGGAAAACCACATTGTGTATTTTTTAAATTTTTATTCTGTATACCTAAAAACAACATCTCATGCCTAGACCCCATCCATTAAATCTGACTTATCTTGTCTAATTAAGCTAAGTGTAGAAGGGGATAACGTGAGAGTGTATAAAAATGTAAGCTGGTAAAGACATGTCCAAGATAACTATAGCAAAATCTGGGTCTTTACAACAATACAGACTCAGGAAGAATCAATTCAAATGTGCGTAAGAATAAAATTCTGCAAAACAAAATAAACAAAGATTTGCAAATCTTTGTTTTGTTTTTTTTCAAAACAATGCTAATTTTCAGTCACATGAAATCCCATAACACAAGAGTAATGTTTATGCTCATAAGTTAATTAAAATGTTAAGCAGTATGAAATGTTGCAAGGTGCTACAATTAAGTAGAGAATTTGCTGATATCAGATAAAAAAAAAAAAAAAAACACATCCATTGTTCTTATCAACTCCCTGTGTGTCCACTTACAGGCCATAGGATGAATTCAGCACCAGACTTGTGATCTGCTGAGGAGGCTCTCCACTCACCCACACAGACTGGACCACCAAATCCACCTGGTAGCCTGGAGACTGCTTCAGAGGACTACTTCGCACTCTGTGGAGAGGGCAAAAAAAGGAATAAAAACACAGAAGGGCAAAAAGGATATATATATATATTAAAAAGTAAAACACAAGCAGTGCAGCTGAATATGTGAAACAGCTCTGTGTGTAGACAGTCTGGCGTGAAAGGCTACAGGGAGATGATGGGGAGGTTGTGGCTAAAAATGCTCCAGGCATCAGAATAACTTCATGCAACTGTGCTTGAGGCTAAAAGAAAGACTATTCTTTTTAGGCTTTTGCACTTGATCCTGCTTCCTTCATGTAAGCTGATTTCAGTGTGTGTCTTTCTCATACTTAAGGCAGGGTATGTTGCCTCCGTCAGAGTTGTTGCTGCTGGTGGAAGGATGGGAAGGTGGGCCGCTCGTCTGAGGGGAGGCACCAGGGGTGGGATGTGCCGATGTTTGCTCACCACCTCCACCATCTGGAGACTCCATTTCGTTCAGCTCGTACTGCATTCGCACCTCTAGTAACTGTAAACACACACAGATGTGCTCAGACTGACAGCAGGGATTAGAATATATAAAAACATGGGCCTATCTCAGGGTCCTTATGTATGATTTTATTTTATTTAAGATTCCAGACATTTTTGTCAAATTTCTCTCTTACAGTACTTGTTGTTTTGTATATTAACAATTTTTCAGATTAACATGTATGAATAGATTAGATATATTCATACATCTTCAACCTCCTCATATTGTGTCATTTTCCTACCATAATCCTCTAAAATAGAATACCAAAAGTACAAATGGTGTAATAAAGACCAATTAGCACACAAGGCAGGTCAGAGCACAAACATAAATCTACCAAAACATTACTGTCTATCTAAAATCATAGGCCATCCAGGAGCTCTTTCTTCAGAAAAGCTGAAAAATTTCCAAGAGGTCCTTGGTAACTGTAAAGGAGCTACAGAGATCTATAGCTAAGGTATGAGAATCTGTATACAGGACAGCTATTTAGACATACAGTCTAAAATGTGGCCTTTATCAAAACACAAGAGGAAGAAAACCATTGCTGAAAGAATACAAAAGGAGTCCTGTTTTTTGTCATAAGCTGTTTAAGAGTCACTGCAAATGTAAAAGATATGCATGGTAAAAAGGTGTGGCAACATATGCATGAGTCAGAATGACATAATTAAAGTGCAGACCTAAATGCAAATGAGAATCTTTGGCAAGGGTTGAAAACCATTGTTTACAGGTGATGTTCACCAAAAAATACTGAGCTAGAGTTATTTGTCAAAGAACTGACAAAAATTGTGGTCTCTAGATGTGTTAAGATGCCAGAAACATTTCCTATGGAAAACAGAATGCACCTAATGTATTGTTCAGAGAGTTTATGGCCACTGCCAATTCTCAGCTGCTGTAAACTAGTTGTACTTCTACATTTTATGCTAGAAATTTGATTTGTAACGTTTAAAACAACTGTGTGTAATTTTCCTTTCCCTACCCAATAAGCTGCGTTTTAATTTGTAGACACATACACATAGTATCCAAATTAACAGTAGGATGTAAAATTGTAAAGAGATTCGGACTTAACTTTTAAAACACTGTACAGCTACAATAATTATTCAAACAGGATAACAATACATCGATGAATGACATCTGCATACATTCAGACAGTCGTCTTTGATGAAATGGATTTTCAGTGATGTGTTTGCATGTGTGTGGGCAGGGAGAAAGTCAAAGAGCTCCTCTAATACTGGAACACTCAATTCCTTCTAAATCCCCCTTCAGGCTACCCCTTTGCAACCTCCGCCTTCGCAAAGATACACACAAACACAATGCTGATAAGCTTTTCTCTTTGGCATTCTGTCAGCCTCATTAGCCCTTCTGACATGTGGGAGTTTAGAGTGATCAGTGCCCTTCTTCAGATTCCCCCTCTCTCTCTCTGTTTTCTAGCTTAACTCCTACAAGGTTATGTAGAAGTTTAGCCTAATGCAAAAAGACCCTGTTTAAGCTACATCCTTATATCTAGCCCTGATTCCATGCTGCAGCATCTGTGAGGGGGTAAAAGACTGGGATAGTTTTCTTTTCTCTATAAATTCATGAATGGATTTTGAGGGTTTTAAATATTTATGACAAACAATTGCAAATTTAACAAAGAGGGCATCAGTGGGACACACCCTTGTACTGCCCACACACTGACTGAAACAAGCCAGGTGCAGCAACGGTAGAGAGCAGACATCAACTACTTTTGTTTTTTGTTCAGTTAAACACAGACTCCCGCTGAACTGCCATTAACACTTAGGTTGCTATCAAAAAAGATTATAACATTGGGCTAGCTTTGCTTGCTTTTATAGTGTCTGTTGGCATGGCAACCCCCCTGCCTCTGAGTTTGTGTGTGCTTCGTATAAATATCTCAGCATCTTAAATAAGGATAGGAATTGGGTATTGAAAGTGAATCATTAAAACAAGGGTCATGCTTAGTGAGAGTCCATTACTTTTACAATGTTTTTGATATGTTAGAGCCCCATAAATCTGCGACATATTCTATTGGCAGACTAAGGTAGGTCTAATCAGGAATGAACGAATAAATGAATGAACGAAGGAGGGAAGGAAGGAACAAATGAAGGAAGGAGCGAAGGAAGGAAAAATGAATAACAAAGAAGTGATGTAGAACACAAAGAATAAGCACAATTAAAAACTGGACATAAGAGAAGAATGAAGAAAACAAGTGAAGAAAGGTTAGAGGATAAAGGGAAGAAAGGGAAGATTGGCATTAGAGTAAAGGTAAGAGAAACAAAGAAAACATGTGAAAAAGAGAATACTGCACAGCAGGAAAAGAATGAAGGAAACCAGGGATCAAATGAAAGAAGGAAGGAATTACAAAGAGAAAAAGAAATCAGGCAAATAGAAGGTGAAAGAAATGGACAAAGGAAATGCGGTGAGAAAAGAGGGAGGGAGAGACAGTGAATGAAATAACAAAAGCAATGACAAGGTTTAAAATTTTCAAAAAAGAGGGGAAAGAAAGAAAAAACACAGGGAGGGAAGGTAAGTGAAAAAAGAATAGTTAAAACAAGGGCTAGAACTCAAGGACAAGAAAACAGAAGGAAGCCAGAAAGGATGAGGAAAATAAAAAGGCAAAAGCAGAAAATGAAAACAAGCAGAAAAATGAAAACAAGGAAGGTATGACATAAAAAAAAGGAAGAAAGAAGAAAGGGAAACAATGGAGAGGTAAGCAAAAGAAGAAAGAAAGGACACAAAATATGAAGTGCAAAATGGAATACAATGAGATAAGGAATAAAGACTAGAAACTTTCAAAGTCAAAAGCCGAGCTTAAAACAAAAGTAACAACTGGAACGCACCTGAACCACCTCAGTGGTTACTTCCAGCTTGCTGAAGCGGTAGATGATAACATTGGCTGACACCCCAGCCACACAAAGCATCCTGCTCTCGGGGCACCAGGCCATAATCTGAATGGCAAAAGGATCTTCGTCTGAAACCTCACTGCTACCCTTGTCTTCCTTGGATCGGTTCCTGTCAAAAATCTTGGCTGTTTTTAGCTTATAGAGGACCTGGAGCATTACTGTAGAGGAGAGAGAAGACAATATTAGCTGCAGTGTCAAGATGATAAGGACTCAGAGCTGAATAAGGGTTTTGATCACTGCTGTGAGAAAAAAACGAATTGAAAACAATATATTAGAATATATTATCTTTCTCTCGCATATCACTTTTTGGCTCAAAAGAGAAACACAATTTTTAAACAGTCGAAAAGAAAAGTGAGAAAAAGACAAATAGAAAGAATGACGTACTTGCAGAGGCATCCCAGAACTTCACCGTTCCGTCAGCATGCCTACAATAAGTAAAGAGAATGAAAAACCAAAACAGGACAGACCACAAACATGCAAGGCATTAATCTAACCTCTACAATTATTGGTTGCTTTTCAAAAAAAAAAAAAAATCTCTAAAAACAAACCCAGAGTCCAGACACATATTGAAACAGAAAATCCACAGTTGAAATGTCAAGCAGCTTTAAAAATATAAGCATCTATTATCAGGAAGAAATTAACATAATAGATAAAAATGAGCTTTAAACTGTTTTGTCTGAATATTCACTTTTTTTTTTCATATTTTGTCCGATCACAATTTTGTCCATATTAAAAAAAAAAAGATATTTTTAGATTAAAAAAGGAAAAATAAAATCTCAAAAATTGGATTGTCATTTATAATCCCCCCTGTTTACTATGACCTCACATAAAAAAGCAAATGCAACCAAATAAATACCTTTGCAAATAGAGTCCACTTAAGTTTGAAAAACATCCACTTATAAATATGACTGTTTTGTGAAGACTCCAGCAGTTTTATAAGGAAAAATAAGTGGAAAAAAATCAATATAAAGACCAAGAATCAAAGACCACAGGTTAGGAATACAGTTACAAAGAGGTTTAAAGCAGGGTAAGGTTATGAACAACGTTTTTAATGCATTGGAGAGTCCACGGACCACTATTCAAGCATCATTAAAAAGAGTAAGAGTATAACCGGGTATCTCTAGAGAAAAAAATTCAAGTTTGAGCAGGAGGATCTTTTTAATGGACACAACTGTTCATGAACTGGAGCAACTTCCCCTCTCCATGAGAAATAGAACAAGAAATGAATTGCTGGCCACAAAAACTAGCTGGAATTTTGCAATATGAAATCATGTGAGAGAAAGAAATGAGTACCGATGGTGATAAAACAGGATCTTCTGGCATACATACTGAACACATGCATGTTATCAAGCTAATGTGCCATGACAGCACATTATTCTGAACAAACCTTCCCCTAACTGAAATGCTGTGGTGACTGACTCATGCTGTGTAAATTATTTTCTTCAGAGGGAAAATGGATGTGTTTCATATATAAGGGAATATTGCTGGAGTTAGATACAGGGTAATTATTCAAGAAAATGATTCAAAGGAAATCTTAACCCATTCCAGAGCCTTGTTGCCCACATCTAATGTTTACAAAATGAGCCTTAAGAAGGGAATGCCTGGTTGATCATGGAACATGTGGGAGGTGAGAGTTGGGCATGGTCTTGGCTGTAATTGACAGACTGATGGTGACAAGGACACTCTAAGTGCCCGCAATATAAAAATGGAGAGACATTAGAGAGATTATAGTTTTTCCACTGCTGGTATGAGTTTAATTTCTTTGCATTGTTTTCATAAGATACGGGAAATTGGGGGAAAGGGGAAGGTTTTGTGAAAAACCCCAATGGCTCCGAGTCGTACAGGTTTGAGGCGCTGACTCTTAAGATCCCCAAAGCCACAACTGTGGCCATTCCTCCAAAAGCTTTCGACCATGGGGTTGGGGTTGGTTTCTGATTAGAATGTTTAATCAATGCAATGTTTGCAATTTGGTCATTAGCAAATAATCTACATATTCATGAAGTTAAATGTGCAAAATGTTTGTGCCAAGTGTTCCACAAGACACACAATTTGTTTTTGCAACTGCCAAAAACACTTTGCCTAAAAGATACTTGATAGCAGGCTTTGAGCTAGCATTGCGCTCGGGCGCACTAAAAAAGTGACAAATTGTACGCCTTGTTTTTTCCCCAGGAAACCTCACTCAAATGTTCAAAATTTCACAAGCATTAGATGCTGGAGTTATAGAATTTTAAAATAGAATAAAAATAGAATTTTTGTTGCTTGACGGGCTACATCTACCAATCAGAAAAGCTGATCTGCAAGCTGAAAAGGAGACGGACATTGCAGGGCCCTGTGATCAATAAAACGGTTTATCAATGCCTAAATTAACTTAAAACATCGAAGCCTGCAGGCAAAATATGTTTGCTTTATTATTCTGGTGCATGCAGTTTTAGCCATGTACATGAAAAACACTAACATCTACTTCCAGCCGCCACAAACAGTAGCAGAAAGCTCCATGAGGCGACTTGACTGAGGTGGCAGCTGCTGAGCGAAATAATATTTTAAGATAATCTTGATGAACTGACTGCACAGAAGATGTTTTAGGTGGAATTTATGCATAAAAATATATCAAAACTACTTTTTATCCACTTTTAAAAGCAAATATAGCAAAGTCACTCTCTGCCATTAAACACAGGAGCAGCACAAGCATCAGATGCATCTTGACACGCTTTACTGGTGGTGCTTCAGTCATATCAAAGATGCTCCTGAGGCGCATCTGACCTTAATGTGGACAAGCATAAAAAATGAAGAAGCAGGCGATTTCTTGCTGCTCAAAGCACGTGGGTTGTGAACATAGCATTATACTTTCTGATTGTTTGAATTAAACTATGAAACATAATATTGTTCCTAAAAAAAGATCTTGTCTTCCTTGTGAAATTTCCACCCCTACTCAAGCACACAGACTTCCAATAATCAGGACAAAGGTAGTGTTGCAAAAATTTAGCTGCATTCCAACTAAAAAAATAGGCCTAAAGAAGTGATATACCAAGGTGTAAACCCAATGAAAGATTTCTTGCTAAAACCCTGCTTACATACAAAAAGCACCTTAGAAAATCAGGGTCTTATAGTTAACTTAACTGTGGATGCTAAACATTTTTAAAGTCTTTAAAGATCTGATTTAATTTGATGCAAAGACAATTAGGTTTTGTTTTAACGCAGTCAAGCATCAATCTTTTATTTTTTCTTATCCAACCAACTTTCATTGATGTTTAGCAATGTGACATACATTGTATTGACAAAGGTCAATAGTGTACCCTGCCTGGTCACTATAAAGTAATATCTTTATACATTTTTTCCCCTTTAAAAATAGATCAAATGCAGGGCTTTCATAATATATTGGCCTCAGTTACGTTTGGTGGACTTGAAACAAAAAGGCTGCAAGCCTAACCTTTCTGGAGAGAAACAAGCATATTAGCAATTCAGCGCAGAGGTGAAAGGACTTATTACTCCCTATATTCATAACTGAATGTCACGTCAGGTGGGTAACTGATCTGTTAGAAAGCCCTGCTTCTGCTGTCCCTCATTGCACATGAAAAAATAAGAGCCTGCTGTGAAAAAAAAATAAAAATCTTGCTGAGTTGACCTAAAGAGCTCATATGGATGTGGAACAAATTGTAGAATGCTTAACATCTTACCCGGTGATGATGATCTCAGAGAAGCTTTGTGTGCCCTGTCCCCAGTTTCCACCACTTATGGGCCACTCCTTGTTTAAAAAAAAGGACATACATGTTGATTAGTATTTGTGTAAACAAAGAGGTGTCCTTATACACATTACTTCTAGATTGATATGTCATAATAAATGTCTTAATATCCCAGTTCGCAGAGGAAAACATGTAGAGTCTTTCCGCATCTCTCTTGGTGTGTCTTGCAATAACATATTATACACCTCTGTGAGAGACTGTGTATGTCAGCGTGGGGTCTGGCTCTCAAGTCGTCGACACACACAAAGGTCAACAGTATGACTCACAGTGATCTTCATATGAGAAGGCCCCCCTGCAGCTTGGTGAAGCTTTTCTTTTGTAGAAAAAAAAAAAAGAAGGGGCTAGGCTGCCAGTTCAGGTCAGTGCATTCTGACATTTTCAGCATAAAGCCAAACAAGGCGACAAAAAAAGAACATAAGCATAAATAATGGGAGAAAGACCTAGAGGGGGGTCTGTCTGCTATAATATAGAAAAGGCAAAAGGGAATGAGAGGTGAAGGTATGCAGAACAGCAATGAGAAATGCTGAGTAGTGAGTTCATGCATATTTTGCCTTATGAAAACATAAAAAAATATAAGTAAATCTCAACTCATTTACCAGAGTTGAGATTTTCTTTGATTCTGATTTGTTCTTATATTCTAATTTGTTCCTACAATGTATCACAAATTTTGATGGCGTCTAAGAAAAGAATACATACAATACATACATAATATGGAGATTCTAAGCCAATAAGGATAAAGAACCTCAGAAGAAAATCACTCTCCAGTTTTAGAAGGCTTAGCTGAATTTCTGAACATTTATTAACTGTTTGAGTTATAAGTCTAAATATTAACCAATTGATGTAAACAGGTACTTTTAGAAACTCTACATCCACCTGTGGATGATGGCCATGAAAAGGTTAATTTAGCTGAGGCAAACTCTAGCAAAGTTTAAAAGTTTTCTGTCTATTTGCATGCTAAATTGATGAAATTCGATTTGTATGTCTAAAATATCTTAAAAATATTATCTATATATATAAAAAAAAACATTCAGTTTTTGCCATTTCTACACCAAAACAAGAAATTGATCTTTGAAACACCCCCTAAAGAACCGAAAAAAATCTTGTTCAGCTTTTCTTTGGTACTGAACTGAGCTCATCAAGTCACAGGCCAAAATTTATTTTACGTGTGAAACAAAGAGGATCATTAGGTTTTCACCATCCTGCCCAACTTTGGCAGGGTTGCATCACTACCATACAGTAGTATTGCAGGTGGGTGTAGATGTTGGAGTTTGCATGGGTGCAGATGAAGTTTTTGCTGTGTCCTTAGTGATGAGCTCTGATGCTTCCTCTACTGTAAAGACCATTTTCAAATTTGGCTCCAAGTACATGCAGTCTAACTTTGTGTTGTGCGGTCAGCTACTGCTTTGAGCGGCCACCTGTTTTAGGCAAGGACGTGACGTCAATCTAGATTTGCTAAATTTAAAAAAAAGATCCATTGTTTTCATCCTTGCAGCATACAGAATCACGTTATATCTAACATGTTTACACCAGTCCCCCTAATCCCTAAAGAGACGAAGAAGATTTATGCAAACTCATGGAAGTTAATATCTTTTCAATTATTAGAGAAACAGCTGACAATAATAGGCAAATATAAAATAATAGGCAGACATATTTGCAATGGCAAATATGTTTGTATTGAGGTGGATTTAGGATTTGGACAAAAAATCAAAATGTCTAAGGTAAAAAGGTTTTTAAAAGGTTTTATAAACACAAGTTTTTTTTCTGTGTTCTTTTGATGCTAGTGAAGTAAATCATAGGTAAGTAGTAACAAACATTTGTTTAAATCTCTGACATCTCTGCTATCAGTAGAGGTTTTTTCGTTTGAGTCAAAGCTGAGAGCGAGTTTCACAGTGACTGCATCTTTTCCTGAAGTTTGTTTGCTTCAGTTTAATCTCCTGTTGGTTTTAACGATTTGCAGTTTGTGTAAATTGTTTGTATCAACTTTTGGCCAATATTTCCATGTTCCTGTGGATAACATGTTCTATATGGCTAGAAGGTTTAAGAAAAGTTGAAGTGATAAAGTTTCAAAGAAAGTAAAGAGTATAATACCTCCCTCTGGTTGTGGAGCGTGGGGATTAAGAGATTACTTAAAAACTTTTTTTTGTATATACTGAAGTTATGTTTGTCTTCTAGGAAATATTGTTTTATTATCTAAAATTGGAAGAAAAAGAAACAAACAAAAAAAAAAAGGGAAAAAAAAATGGAACGGGGTAGGTACTTTTCATAGAAGTGCAAATGCTGCTTCACTAATTCATAGAATATTTACCCTTACTGAAAATAACCAGAGTAAAAATGCATTTCCAAAGAGTTGCTGCTCATAATTGATTTTCTTTCTCTAGGAAGTCTTACAGTTTTCTTTCTTTTTCCTACTTTAAAATGTGATGCTGGACATAAAAAGCGGGGCTTTATCAGTGAGATGTGATAGCTGTTCTTTACAGTACCTTTTTGCTGTAGCCCTGTCGTTTTTGCCGCGAGCCAACAGAGTAAAGTGCAGGAATGAGGTCCACAGGGCAGTCGGCAAAGTACTCACAGCAGGTTACAGGAGACTCATGGATTGTTAGAGGATATGGGTTCTCAAATATGGGGTAACTGTTAATAAGAGGAAAAAAAAACACTGAAAACATAACTTATTCTAAAAGGAGTGTTTTGTACATTTACAGAAGTACTATGTAAACGCTTGTTAAAGAGCTTCATCAAATTCTGGATAATGACAATACAAAATAATTATAACAAATGCAAACAATAGTACGTTGTAAGAAAACTTCAATAGTTAAATCAGCTTTAAGTAAGGTAGTAAAGAAAATAAGATTTACCCATTTTGTGCAAGGTCAATCACCACTAAATCTTTTTCTAAAAGGACCACCACAGCATAAGGCTCCTGAAAATCTGTAGAGTAGATAGATAAGATGACTTAAAAAAGGAAACACTTGGACAGCATAGGAAAGAAAACCACACGTTTAATAGGAAACTCTTTATGGATCAATTTGTGTTTCATCTGGATAAACTACCTTAAGAAAGATTGAATACTATGATTAATTAAAACATTTAATTATTAAAGATTAATAAGCCAAACACTGTGGTTACTACAATGGCAGGCAATGTGTAGTGAATGTACATTGACATTGACATTAATGCAAATATTTAATCTTTAGAGACAACAATGATCACTAAGCTGCTTTGTTCCGAAAGCAGATGAACCCAGAGTTATGAGCCTTCCTGAAGGGAACCTTGAAAAAGTTTTTTGGAAGGCAAGTAACACAAAACTGTATTTCCATACATTTTGTATTATAACAAAACTAAGTAATATTACACATACTCTACATAAATGTCATATATTTTTTGGTTTGATAGGAAAGTGTTTTTTGAAATGGGAATAACTCATTCCCAGTTAAAGGGACAAATATTGATGGGTCCTCTCAGCCTCTATAATTATTTTATTATAAGCAAATGTGGGTCAAGTACTTAAAAAAATGCACTAAAGAAAGAATAGCACTTTTTTATACTATTTTCACTCAAGTAAATGTAGAAAGCAATCATCCGAGAAATTACTTAAGTTTGAGTAAAAAGTACTTGGTATAAAGGCTGCTTGTGTATGGGGTAAATGTTCGGTCATAACATGTTATTTAATATCAAAAAGTGCATAATCAGAGAGTTGTATGCAAATGATAGCATTTCAAACTATAAAAGAAACCAAAATATGGATAAATAACACTATTATAAAATAATAAATTTGTGCAAAAGAAAGACTTTTTTCACATCATTCTTTTCAACATAAAAAAGATTTTAAATAGACCTCCAGCTACAATATCAATAGTTTAATGTAACCTACAACCTAATCTCCAAATAGCTCAAGGTACTAAAGGTGGATGGATTCATTGGAAAATGTAATAGAGTAAGATATGCACAATAAATATTTGTTAAGAAAAGGGTAAAAAGTACAGTGAAGTAAAACCACTCCTAGAAGTGCATTTTTTTTAAAGTTACTCCAGTAAATTTAACTATGTAGAACTAACTAGTTACTACATACGTCTGCTTAATGGATAGTTTAATATCTACAGCTGTTAGGTTTCTAGTTTTCAAAGTTATTGACCTTAAAAAATAGGTAAAGCACAAAGTCTAGCTGTATATACAGTAGGAATGTGTAATAATCAGGAGCCCAGACTAATTGAGGGATTTCTAAATGTACGTTACATTGTTTTGATTAGATCATCATTTTGTATTGTATAATCTATGATAACTATTATTTATTTTGTAATTAATTAAATCATTAAAAACATTGGCAAATCTTTTTGCAATTCATGCAACTCTCCTCTGTACCAACTTTCCTCAGTGCAACGACACTCAAATAAAACAGAAAAAGTGTAATCAGTTTATTTTTGGGGCGCAGCATTTGCTATTAGAAATAATCAATCATAGAAATGGTCCATGGCAGGAAAAGATCAGACATGTTACCATATAGTACAGCATATGTGACAAAAAAGGACATCATCATTATATGCTTTAATACAAATAAGATTCTGTGGGTTGTGGTATTGACACAAAATAAAAACAAAATGATAATGACATCTTACTAACATTCAAATACCACAAAAAATAATTGGCCTCATATAGGACAAAAATAAAGTTTATGAAAGTTTTTACTGTTGGCCAGCAAAATATTTCCACTGAAACATGAAAAATGCAATCGGAGTGAGACATTTACATGTGATTCCTGTGTACTGTAGAGGCACATGCTTTGTAAAGAGAAGCAAAGCATGCGCCCCTATTGAGAGTGGCACAATTAGGGCCATTACATTGAAGCGACACCCGTGATGGATGCTGCGATGCAAATTTGGCTGTAATTTAAAAATCTGGACTTTTTTGAAAAAACAATCAAGGACTGGATGTGGCTGTGACAGAGTGAAGAAGCAAAGTGGAGGCAAAGCTTTTTTCAATCAAAACAGAAGATAATATGATAAATGATAGAAAACTAATGTTGATATAGGATGATGTAAGGATGCTCCTAAGAGGTTTGTGGATACCCTTTAAAAAAGCAATTTTAATTCAACATTAGAAAAGACTGGTATATAATTTTTCATAGTGCTCCTCCCTTAGATCCAGAGCTGGTCCTGGGTCACCCGTTGCCTTTGTCTGACTGAAATGCTCTCTTTGTCCGGCATCTTGCACTTTATCCATGCTGTTCACCCTGAGCTCCAGAGCTGGTCCTGTCCTACTGCAGCCTCTGCTGCTTTGGTGATCTCTCTCCACTGCTTCTTGCTCTAATCTTCCCCTCCTCCTGTCTAAGGTCCAGATGACCTCCTCACCTGACCTCCATTACCCGAATGATACTGGTCCAGCTCACCATAATGAGTTGAAACCAGCAAGCAGGAGATTGATGATGCAGTGAGGTGAAGAAGGTGGCCAACTATGTGCGCTGATAGTAAAAATCCATACGGGCATGCGAATTTGGTAAAAAAACATCAAAAACTAAAATATCTGGAAAGACTATGGTGTGAATGTACTATTATGGTATAATAGTAGCCATTTGTTTTCCCACAGCAGGGTTATTACATTTAAGTATACTGCATTGACAGCAGCTATATTGTTATACATTATTTATAGTTATAAAATTAAATTTAATGATGATTTAAGTATACACAATCACACACAATTAGACAGGGTTTGTGTAGTAACTGTGACCATCGGCAAACAAAAAGCAGGAGATTCTGGAATCAAGTTGCCAGTGATTTAATGAATTGTTACATAATCTACTAATCCTCTCCCAAGCTGTATGTGTGGCACATTACACAGCAGCACAGATTACACCCAGGATTACACACACTTAGGACCCTGTGCCTTCTAAAGCTTTTTTAAACTGTTAACTCACCAGTAAAAGGAAAGTAGATGCAAATGTAAATCTTATGAAAGAATGTTATGTACAAAGGCATGAAACCAAAATGTAATGAAATATTCTGTTTCTCAGTTAATTAAAGGTAGAGGTAGGATCCTCACACTTGGGAAATTTACTGCAAAAAGCAGCAACACAGCCATTCTGCCTGAAATAATTAAAAAGAGTAGAGTGTGTGCTTGGATTGATTTTTTTTTTTTTTTTGTAATTGAATTCTCAATGAGCATGGAGACAATGATTAACATCAAATTTAGATGTTACAAAGTGTAAAAAATGTTTGATCAAAACATAATCTTACCATTAGGATATGGTGTCTCACATAGTGTTAGAAAGTCTACTATGGGATAATCCATCTCCAGCACAGCAATACTTTTTCCATGCATAACTGTCAGACATGGCCTCCGTCCTACCGTGTCATAGGACAGACCTCCAGAGAATATGATAAAAGGGTCCCTGAATAGAAAGACACAACAGGCACAGACAGGAGAGTTTGTCAAACCTTTGTTCATGAATTGTAGTTTCATAAAACTAAGACAAAAAGTCATGGAAACCTTTGGAGCAGCAAATCAGAGTAGCAAAAACATCATTCAGAAGGGTTGCATTGTAAATTTGAAGTCTTATGAAATGTGTTCTACTGTATGAAGTTTTAACCAATAATATTTGTTATACCTCTAGTCATGAGATTTATTAATGCGAGCTTCTAAAAAAGCAACAAAATAAATCCTATTTATTTTATTTATTTTTCCTATTCCTATTTGTGGAAGGCAAATAACTAAATATATGTATAGTGTCTCCTCTTCCCAGCTTTGGTAAATGAAAAACTATTTGAACTGGAAATCCTCCGATCAATTGCAGATATAGCATCGTAAGTGGATTTAAACAGTTAACGGTACGACAAAAAAGCATTGATATGGTTGGTAAGCTACTGTTTAGTCGAATATCCACATTTCCATGTATTGGAGTTGGAACCTGATGGCAGTTTGCCTCGATCTTCTACACCTTGTCAGAATGCTCAGAGAACTAAGCAAACGTTTGATTAAAACCTTCTTGTCAATCTTACAATTGGCTGATCCATCAAACCATGTGATTGGTTATACTGATTTTGTGCATGTGTGTGTAGCTAGTTTGCTTCCATCACTCACTTCATTTATTCACATTTCAAACAAAATCATTCAAATAAGACATCTGTTATGCCACAAGCCATGGTATTATTTTTGGACATTAAGGGCTGATGTCAAGGCTGACTAACCTTGAACATTGGTGAAGGAAAACTTTTAATTTTCCCTGAAAAGAACCTACTGTAGCAATACACTGTCACAGGGACATGCAATCCTTCCCCTGCCTCTGTGCTTGGGGACACAAACTAAAGTATATACCGGTACACACCAAATTTATCCTCTTTACTCATGAACCAATAGAAAGATGGGTGAATATGCAACAATACAGGTGAGGAATGAGCTGCAACAGAACAAGATGCAAAAGGCTGCGGGTCTAGATGGCATCCGCTCCAGGCTTCTCAGATGTTGTGCAGATGAACTATGTGGCATCTTGTGCTACATGTTCAACTTAAGCCTGAGGCTAGGAGAAGCACCACAGCTGTCGATGATCTCTTGTGTTGTACCAGTGCCAAAGATAAAACATCTAAAGGATCTCAGCAGCTACAAGTCGGTAGCACTGACTTCACACCTGATCAAGACCCTCAAACAGTTAGTTTTACACCACCTATGCTCCCTGGTAAAGACTATATTGGATCCACTTTAGTTTGCCTACCATCCTGGGATTGGGGTAAATGATGCCATCATCTTCCTCCTGCTCCAAGCTCTGACTCACCTAGAGAAACCTGGAAGCACTGTGAGGATCATGTTCTTTGATTTTTCAAGTGCTTTTAACACCGTCCAGCCATGACTCATAAGGGACAAGCTGGCGTTTTCAGGAGTGTACCAGCACATGTCTAAGTGGATTCTGGACTACCTCACTGGCTGTCCACAGTATGTAAGGGCACAGGGCTGTGTCTCAGATTGGTTGGTTTGCAGTACAGGGGTCCCACAGGGAACAGTGCTGGCACCGTTCCTCTTTACCCTTTATATTACAGATTTCTCCATCAACTCTGCACGCTGCCACTTCCAGAAGGTCTCTGATGATTCTGCCGTAGTTGGTCTCATCACAGGCGGGGACGATTCAGAGTACAGGGAGTGGACCCATAACTTTGTGGTCTGGTGCCAGCAGAACCACCTTTTGATTAATGCAGGGAAAACCAAGTGGTTAGTGGTGGATTTTCGCAGAAGCGGATCCACTGACACCGGTGAACATCCAGCAAAGTGGACATTGCGATAGTGGACTCTTATAAGTACCTAGGTGTTCACCTGAATAACAAACTGGACTGGACTCAACACTGAGGCTCTGCATAAGAAAGGTCAGAGCAGACTCTTCCTGCTGAGGAGACTGAGGTCTGTTGGAGTGCAGGGGGCGCTCCTAGAGACCTTCTATGACTGTTGTGGCATCAGCCACTTTCTATGGAGCTGTCTGCTGGAGCATTGGCTTATATGTAGCTGAGAGAAAGCGGCTGGATAAGCTGATCAGGAAGGCGAGCTCTGTGATTGGATGCCCTCTGGACTCAGTGCAGGAGGTGGGAAAAAAAACGATCCTAACTAAATTAACATCTGTTGGATAATGTCTCCCACTCCATGAATGAAGCTTGATTCACACCCTCATTTGTTGTCCTAACAAACACCCAGTTGGGCGTGTGTTCAAAAGACAATATATGATGGTTGGAAAGTTTCTGATTAAATGACATATTAGCCCCTCCACCCCTACCCTCCCTGGGCTGGGCATTGAATATAAAGTTATTGTATAATTTTTAGACATACATCAGCAAAGCTGACGTATCTGTATACATAAAGCTGTATACATTATTTATTATGAGACATTTCATATACCCACACATTCACCCCTTCAACCTATAACATAACCTTGCTTCAGAGGTCAGCTTATGTTTATGTTTAACAAATTAAACTCATATTATCAAGCAGTTGTATAAAGTGGATATTGTAAATATTTATTTTCATTTGGTTTAGAACAAGCAACTCAATGGTTTTTCTGGCAGGAAAAAACTGTTCTGCCTTCAATATTTTGAAGTACAGCTAAATTTTGCAGCTAGGTAAATGTAGGAGTCTTTACTGTCTAAGCAGCTGAATGCAGACTCTACCTCAGCACATGCACAATTGTTGTAAAAAAAGAAGCTAGAGTGCTTTTTTCTGTCTCAATTAAAAGCGGTCATATCATATTCCATATATTTTATTATTTGTGTTTAAATAGTGTTTTTATTCAAATGTATAGAAATAAAACACCTAAAGGCTAATGCATAATGCATATACATAGATACAAAAGTATATTTATTTTTTTTCATGTTCAGCAAATTATGTCACAAGTTAATTGTGTAACTGTACAGTACAGTGCTGTACCAAAATCAGCTAAAAGCTAAAACTATTGTTTTGACTTTATAGAATAACATATACGAATGCATCACTTTACAGCCTTTAACACCTGACAAGGACCTTCATGTGTTATTTTTCAAGACTGTGTACAATGTGTTTGCAAATTAGACTTGTAAGAGTGAAAAAGAGCCTACCCGTTTCTTGTTGTTTTATATTCCACTTTAAGAATGGGTTTACACGGCTCTGGCTTCTTTCCATCCTTGGGCTGTTTTCCTAAAATAGAACAAACAGAATTACTTTACTCGGCCTATTCTTTGCTTCTTTTTCTTTTCTTGATTCTTCTATTTATTTTTCACCCCATAGTAATATTTGAAAACCAGGAGGCTTTAAAAACAGAGAGAAGCAAGACAAATGCAAGGGTCGGGTGTGCAGAGGGGTGAGGTTAGTTTTTTGATTTTGTGGAAACAGTCCATTCTGAATGTTTTTTAATGCAAATAAAAATGAACTCAATTATCATTTTAACTGTAAGTTATTGGAGATGATGGCTGCTGATATTATACAGTAATCATTATTGCAGGACATGCAAGGCAAATGAATTTAAAATCAGGTATTCTTTTATAGATAGATGTCAAAAAGGACAATTTAACGAACACTTAAAAGCTTTACTTAAATCGGTCATTTGAATTTAAATAATTGCCCATTAAATGCCAAAGTAATTATGTATGAAGTAGTAAGAGAAACAACTAATTGAAAAGCTAATTTGGTAAAAACCTTCATTTCTCTGCATGCAAAAACTGTTTAAGAAACAACCATTTTTCTTTGTTTTAATTAATGTCCTTATGCTTGTCTAGACTCTTCTGTTCTTTAAATAATTGGGACTGCTAAACAGCCTGTCCTTTTCTTTTGCTCTTTCATCCTGACACATTCAAACTGTAGGGAAGTAGTTAGATCCGTCTCTACTGTATATGACTATTGGAAGGCAGAGCTATGCACTAAAACATCAAAAGAGTAGACTTGCTTTCGAATAACATAAATAGAGCCCCAGTAGTAAAGGTCATGTAGCGTATTGAGGCATAAGATAAAGCAAACACTTAATATTCCTGTTTTATGTAAAAGGAGAGGAAATAATAGAAGATAACTTTTTTTTATGAAAAGGAAAAGGTCATTTGTACAAATTTCTATTAGAAGAGTTAAATAGCCAACAAGTTAATTGTGTAACTTTTTTTTTTTTTCTAATTGTGTAACTCTACCACATCAGGACCGTCAAGGTTTTCAGATGTGTGGACCCAGAAATGAAACACAAAAATTATGCTATGGCGTTCATATTTACAAATATCATAAAATACTCAAATAAATAGGCTGTTACAATAAAAATTATGCTGCCTGCATTATCAGAGGGGGGTTAATGCTGTAATGTTATTGAAACAATTAGAAATCTGACTTACATGATAGTAAAGACAAAATTTGTGGTTGTTGTTTTCAGATTCAGGATAACTGCTCTCAGATGCAGGACAAACCATGGTCTATTTCTAAGCTTCATTTAAAATACACATACAATAAACTAGCAAAACATGCAACATAATTTCCCCTACATAGAGGCCGAATTCCCAGAAAAACCTTTTAAATTGAATTTTTTATTTTTTTTTTTTAACTTCACCATTTAATATTTTTTAGCATAAATGAATGACTTTGGTCTTCTAAATGTTGGTAAATTGGAAAAATAGAGCAATAAACATAGTGGGGTATGAGTCGGGGATAGCATTGTTTTTTATCATGTTGCAGACCTCATATTTTTATAAAACAAAATATCTCTTTAAATAAATAAAATGTTTATTTTGAGGTCCCAGCTCTGCTAACCTTGTTTGCCTTGCTAACCCCAGGTTTCTGATCAGCCAACACCAAAGAGCATCTCATATAAATAATATATCAAACAAATCTATTGAGCTGTGTAATTGGACTGTGCTTAGGCATGCCTTCACCTGCTTACCATGTGGTGTGATTGTCTGTATGGGTTTTCCTTGGCCTCTGATGTTCCATATGGTCAGAGTTCCATCTGAGTGACTGCAAATAAACTGCTTGCCCTCATGATGCCATGCAACTGAATGGATAGCCTAGGAGATTACAGACAGGAAGGCAGAGAAGATGGAGGGGTTCAGGGAAAGGGGTTGAACAGGATAAGAACATCATGTGCCACCATGCCTGTAACACCACACGTCTGCAGTAGCGAAGCCATACGGTACATGCTACTTGTAAGTGGTTTAAAGGCCTGTGACTGTGAGCTCATGGACAGATGGCAGAAGCAAGATAAATGAATCCCAAATCTTCTGAATTTTTATTTTAGTATTTTACAAAAGACTATTTTAGGAGCATTTTTTATTATAATGCTGAGAAAAAAAAAAAACAAGAAAAAAAAAAGATCCTTGAACCTGTCAAGAGTTCCAGATCGGATAAAATATGATTAAAGCGAGGTATGTATTTATGACTATTTATTGGGTATGCAAGAAATGTTAAACTCTAGTAAAAAGATAAACTCTTAAGCATTATTTCAGTGTTAAAACTCCAAGTTTGAAACTCAGCAATTATTAAATTTAAGAAACAGACGTGCAAATTAGCTATACACAGTAGATTGAAAGAAAATGAATATACTAAAATCATGTTGTTGTTTTTTTCAGACTAAATACTGTAAGATGTATTGGCAGTGTCAAGTGTCTTTAACTAATCAGTATCTTGAAATAAAGTATTCAGCCTAAATTAAAAAATAGATAATCTAATTTCACAATAAAAGCTCTTAAAATCTTATTTGTAAATAATAGATAGCTATAGAATCAAAGTTTTCAATGTTTGTCTGACCTTGAAATTTTGAATCCATTTTAACTGTTTTTCTTTAGGTTTTATAAAGACATACCCTGATTGACACAAATCTTTTTGACAACTAGGGTAGTTAGCTGATATTCTAAAGCTTTCCCTTATCATAAAGCACTTAGAGTTTCCCTTTTTCTTTTATATGAAGATTTGTTGCGCAGTAATATTAAGACATGATGAGTAACTGCTCTGATATGTTTTTGGGCTGATGACGCTGACATGGTACAAGTGGTGGGTTCAGTGAGCCGCAGCCAAGGAAGAAGGATAGGCTTGTCATAAATTTGCCACAAATGATTCATTGAGGTTCTGCGCCAAATGGCATTGATGTAATCGTGTAGGTGTCCTAAATAAAGTGTGAAGATGTTTCCCATTTTGCTAAATATAATTAAGCTCCATGCTTTTGAAATAAAGAGAGTTACATTGTTGAATAACTTGTTTCTTCAAACATTTAGACCTTATTATATTTGGAAATTCAAATAAAGATTACACTGGGAATTACAAAAACTCTAAAGATGTTCCTTTTCACTTTGTTTCTAAAAGGTTTCCGTGTATTGAAATTAAAAAAATTATCTGTAGAGTAAGACAAAACTGTCAAACCTAAGAATCATAATAAGAAGTCACATCAATGAAAAATATATAAAAAAATATTAAGAAAATATTATTTAAGAAAAGGCAGAAAATGAACAGACCTTATGAAAAAAACATATTTCCTGACCAAGATCCTTCATTTACACAATTAATGATGTTCTGACTGCTACAAACCTTGTAAAAATCTGTTGATTTTGACAGTCCCAACAGTCCCCAATCCACTATGCCTAATTAGAAAATGAGCAGGGTAATTAAAACACATGGCGCTCATCAAATGAAACAATACCAATTAAAAATACTAATTTTATGATTTATCACATTAGGCCCATTTCCACAGATTGATCTTTAGGGAAGAGACAAGAAAGTCAACACACATTATAGGCAGAGGAGAGCATCATGCACTTACACACACCCACACACGATCACCCTGCCCCCCTCCACACACACACACTCGTTTTGCCATCGTAGTGAGGACCATGTGTTGACTCCCATTGACATCCATTGGTTTTCAGTCATTTTCAACCCTTTCTATGTCCTAAACCTAGAACTAACACTAAACCTAACCATTGCCAATGCCTACCTAACCCTAACCCAATTGACACCTTACCCCTAAACCTAACCATTAGCAAAATAGCATGTGAGGAATGGCAAAATGTCCTTACTTTGCAACAACTGGTTCTGTTTGATGGTGAAATTGGAAAAATGGTCCTCACTCTGAGGCCTTGACAGGTACACACACACACATACACACACACACACACACACACACACACACAGTTACAGTGAAGCCAATAACAAGCACACAAATTAATACTGTGGGATGAAACCAGATGCAAGGCATATGCATGTCACAGCCTCAGCTGTAGAACAATCTGCCAGCATTGTGTCATAATGGGACCAGTAGGAGCTCTAAACTACCACATCTTTTTCAGTTGCATCAGAGTTCAATGAACTGACAAAATAGAAGTACCTAAAAAGTAAAAGGACGTATTTGCTTTTAAAGTCTTTTTAATCAGGCAGACACGATAATAGTCTTATAGTAGGAGTCCTTTATTTTACAGAGCTTAAGTCTAAAGTAGTTTTTTAAAAGTTCTGGATACATTTTTGCTGACTGATCACATTTATTTTTATTAGGGTTTAAAAAAAATTCTCACCTGTTAAAATATGCACAAACACCAGCACTTCACATGCCATAACTATCCTCAAAACGGTTTCTGCTTGTCAGCTCCGCACACACGCGTGCATTAGTGTGTACTGTATGGGTTTATTCTCCCGCGTCCCGTATCGCCTCTTGACAGCTCAGGATGTCGTTGTGCAGCCCTGCCAGGAAAACGCTTCCCATAATCTCCCTCATTCAGGAGCAAGAGCAGATAAGTAAGAAATCAGACAGTCAAACAATCTATCTGCTTGCTAGAGGTCAATCGCAAAGTGGAATCGAACCTGTCATGGCCCCACACACTTTATTAATGTATTCGTAAATCTTGCTAAATCTGGTTAGTAAAAAATATTACTAGTATCAATATATAAGCCTTCAAGATGACTTGCAAAACTACTTATGCAAACTCTGCCAGAATCCTTGTTATGTTGTTATGCAGGGAGCGCAGATGTGGATTTTAACACGATGAATGAACAGTTTTAGTAATAGAATTAGGTAATATGGCGCAAATGAGTTTTATTCAGCACTTGACTAAATTAGCATTAGTTTATGAAAAGAGCTCAGTAATAGGCTAAGCCCAATAAATATAAATATAATTTTATCACCTGGTTTACAAATGCTTGTATCTCTGTTACACTAAAACTCTGATTTCTCTGTCACTTCCAAATGCTTAGGTCAGATAAATGTAAATGTGATCTAGAGATTAGTCGGTTATGAATTTTGGTATTCCACTACAACCACCTTTTACAAACCTTTTTCTCCTGGCTATTCAATCTCATGACATTTTTTCTTTATGTTTTTATTGTGAATCAATTTAATTTACTTTAGTCATTAAATTAATTGGAGCTACAAAAATGATTAGGAAAAGAATGTATACGTGAAATATAAAGGTAAAACTGTAAATGTACAGAAGTTTCTTGTCAAGTTGTGATTACACACTTGTCCTTAATAAGACCTACACGTAGTGTTTGGAAGTTTTTGCTCGCACAAGTGGAGCAGTACGGCTATCACTATAATATTCCTCTAGATACAGGGAGTATTACAGATTTTATGGTCACTGCAATGTAAGTAGAACAGGAAAGGAAAAACAGATGAAAGATGAAAGAGGAGTTAAATGGCGATAACGATAAAACACCTTCAGTCTGCTTTATCACCTACAAAGAGATGTAAAAAGAACAGCAAAAACAACAGATATAATATAAAAGACACAATAAAGTAACACCTTGATACTATAAGTAGTATTATTTAATCTGACATGTATATTGTGGTAGCTGAGGATAAGAATATGGGCTTTCTATATGGAAGTGAATCTCTAAGTACCTGGAACCAAGCCCCTGTATTTGTTTGTGAGAGTGCACTTGTGCATGTAAAGTTTATCCAAAGGAAAAATGCTCAATAGTGGTTGTGAATAGCCAAAGATTCGCCCCTTCTGTGAACAGAGGCATGTGCCGGGGGACCCAAAGCCCCAAACACCCAAAGGGACCCCAAGTGCAAAGGTGCCCAGGAGGGGCCAACCCAGAAAATCTGCCTCCCCACGACGGGAGGAGGAGAGACGGCCTTGAGGAAAACCTCCAGCCGCTGCAATGTCGGAGCCCCCAGGACCCAAGGCCCCCGGGGGGCACAAAACATAACTAACTTGAGTGAGAAAAACCTGTTAAGTTCAGCTCCAAAGGTCTGGACGAAGAGTAGAGAGGTACAGTTAAGGTCTGTTGTTAGATCTCCACAGCAAGATATAATAAAGAGAGCCATGTTACCTGATGCGCTTTCTTATCAGGTCCATGTTAAACTTATTCGTCTGGGATATATCTTAGATTTATGCCTTTCTCTTCTAACAATCAGAAGGAAGCATCAAATGCCACACTAGAAATAACTGATAATGCATTTTTGATGATTTTGCAAGTTTTACCCTAAATTTGGCTCAAAAAGAAAGGTGACCTTGGAACTATTTGAAAGTATCTATAAATTAAAAATAAATGTTAAGTTTTATAGGGATGTTAATTTATTTTCCAACAGGACTTGGCATCCACTCACACTTCAAACACTATTAATATCCAGTTTAATAACCATGGTGTCATTGTGTTGATTGGAGTATTGCCGAGAAGAAAACGAGAGAAGTCAAAGGAAGGAAAGAAGCTGACCCAAAGGTAGCTATTAAAGCAACCGAGATTTTCCTAAATAGAGCCACAGGCTGATCACCCTAATGCAGCGCCTCAGTGATTCATGCAAAAGGGAAACTTGACCAGATATTAAACAGATATATACTACTTCCATGAATCAGATGAGTAAGCGTTTAAAAAAAAACAAAACAAAAAAAAACTGTTGCAGCAATTGTTTCTGCATCTGGGCTGCATTTTTTTATGTTATCATAAGTTATATTTAATATATAGCTTTATTAAGTCATGCTGATATGGATTAGACATGGTCTCCACAAGAAAACAGGAAAACAAATACATGGCCACACACACAGACACACACTATTGAAGTCTCCCCATTTACATACACACT